ATTTTATAGGCCAAAAAAATCTGTCAATGACGCTTAAATACATTTTGATTTTTTCTTTTTTTCTAATTATAAAAATAATACAAATTATTTTAGAAAATTTGAAAAATATAAAGTTAAAAAAAGAAAAGAGTAATCCTCTTTAATCCCACCACTAAAATATAGTACTAAATAATATCTGACATTTATTGAATTCTTACTATATACATAGGACTGCTTTAGATACCTAATATTTCTAAAAATAGGATTCATAAATAGGTATTTAACATATATATGATATATATACATATATACAATGAATATACATACGTATATATTATGCCTTTACAAAAAAGTACCTACTTTTTTATAAACTGGGGTTTTTTCCACCTAGCAAATAAGTCACAATCATTTCCTCATATTATCTGTATCCTGGACTGAAGGGTGTAATTTAAAGACTTCAGCATTCATATCCATCTGTCTTCTCTCACTGTCCAGAAACCGAGGACCAGGCTGAGCCCAGCAACAAGTCCTAGGGAGCTGGCTTGCTGCTGGCTGTATACAGTGGCACAACTGACTCAGCTCCACACAAAATAGAATTAACATACAACAATTCTCTGCACTCAATACTCAGGGAGGCCAACTCTCACCTCTGCCCTAGGGCCTTCTGCTGGGGACCACCCATCCTACCTGCCCATCCGACAACGTAACGCGCAACTCCTTTTAGCTACTAGCTCTCCTGAGCCCTCAGCCCACACTCCTTTCCCCAATAGACAGTTTTCTCACTACAACCACTCTTCAATTTAAAAATATTACATATAGGGCCGGCCCCGTGGCTTAGCGGTTAAGTGCGCGCGCTCCGCTGCTGGCGGCCCGGGTTCAATCCTGGGCGCGCACCAACGCACCGCTTCTCCGGCCATGCTGAGGCCGCGTCCCACATACAGCAACTAGAAGGATGTGCAACTATGACATACAACTATCTACTGGGGCTTTGGGGGAAAAAATAAATAAATAAATAAATTAAAAATATATATATATTACATATATCCTCAGCCTCTTGCCTTCACTGTCTTCCCTTAAAAACACCAAACTCTCCAGACTCTGATCCATAGGAAGTTTGATATTACATTCTCTTATGTGGCCTGGTCCATATGTATACTTGAGGAGATGAACTTTATTTGGATTTGATCCAGCTTCCACATGAGAAAAAGAGTCTGCAATAAATGTATCCTTGCTCCTTTAGACTATTGTGATAGCTCTCACTCCCTTTAGTATTGTCTTTCTCCCCACCATGCAGCCCCCTTCACAAATCTATCCACATAGTTATGTGAGCTTCCAAAAATCGATTCTGATTATGTCATTTCCCTGCATAATATACTCCATTGTGCCAAGATGGCCTACAGAATCAACTCCAAGGGCTTGTTGCAAGGCCCTCTATGACTTCTGCTGCTGGTTCCTCTAGCCACTCCACCTGCCACTTCTCCTGTCTCACTCTGTAAGTTCCAGTAATTCTGAGTTTTTGTTCTCTGCCCTCCTAACACTGTTTCACACCTTTGTGCCTTTGTATATATTTCCCTTCCTGTCTAGACTGTTCCTTCTCCTTGTCTGCCTGGAAGACTCCTATTTATCTTTCAAAGTCCTGTTCCAAAGATATTCCCACAAACTTAAAGTACAACCCTACATATTCCTTATTAATTACAAAGAGGAAAAGTTACCTTTACAGTGTAGAAACCTAACTAATGCCACCTTAACCAGGCCGTCAAAATTACCATCATCACTAATGGGACAAACAGACATCATATGCCCCTGACGTGATATACTGAGAATGACACATTCTGGTGGTATTCCTGTCAAAAATATTTCACCTGAATCTAATTCCGAAGGAATGATCAAACACATCCAAATTGAAAGATGTTCTGCAGAACTGGCCTGAACTCTACAAAAATGTCAGTGTCAGGAAAGACCAAAACAAAACAAAAGGCTTGGAAATTGTTCCAAATTAAAAGACGCTAAAGAAGCATGACGACTAAATGCAATGTGTGATCCTTGTTTCCATCCTGGATAAAAGAAAAAAACCAGTTACAAATAACATTACTGGGAGGACTGGTGAATTTTGAATATGGATTATATACTAGATAATAATATTGGGTCAATGTTAAATTTCCTGAGTGTGGTCATTGTACTGTGGTTATGTAGGAGGAATGTACTTGTTCTTAGGAGATACAGCTGAAGGCTAAAGCGTTGCTATATCTGCTGTTAATAACTCATAGTTCAGCAAAAAGAAACAAGCAAACAAATAAATATGTGTTTGTATATCTAAATAGAGAGCAAAAGATGTGGTGGTGAAGTGCTAACAATAGAGGAATTCTAGGTGAAGGGCAAACGGGTGTTCAGTGTTCTATTCTTGCAGCTTTTCTGTAGGTTTGAAATTCTTCAATACAAAAACTTGGACAGAATAAACAAGAAATAATAAAAACAAACAAATGAACGAAAAGCTTTGTTCCAGGTCATGTTTTCTGTGAAGCCCCTACTACCCCTGGTCCCCAAACACACATAAAACAATGAACCACCCTCTCTTCTGCACTCTTTCATGATTATCCATCTCTCTGACCGAACTATAAGCTCTTTGATATCTGGGCCTGTACATGTTGTGTTGGATCTGCACAATGCTAGGACTGCACCAGACACAGACCAGATGCTCAGTTGATACTTTTTTAATGTTAATTAAGCTGAGTCTTAAGGCTTGGATAGGATTCAGTCAGCAGAGAGGAGCGAGAAAGGTTTCTCAAGAGAGAGGAACAAGGCTGGCCCGGTGGTGCAGTGGTTAAGTTCAGCACATTCTGCTTTGGCAGCCCAGGGTTCGCAGGTTCGGATCCAGGGCACGGACTTACACCATTCATCAAGCCATGCTGTGGCAGCATCCCACATACAAAATAGAGGAAGATGGGCACAGATGTTAGCTCAGGGCCAATCTTCCTCACCAAAAAAACCCAAACAAACAAGAGAGAGGAATAGCATGAGGCAAGGTAAGGAAGCAGGCACATGTGTTTTGTATTTACCAAGAACATTTGATTTATTTGGTCAGAACTGAAGATTTGTATAGGTGAAAATGCCTAGCACACAATAGATTCTTAACAAAAATTTGGTGAATAAGTGAATGAATGAGATTTGAAAGGCAGGCTTAGATCAGATTGGAAAGGGCCTTGACTATTGAATTGAGAAATCTGAACATTAACTGGTTCTTAACATCCAGGGTCTTTTCCCAGTGGCAGAAAGAGAGTGTGTTCTTGGGTAAGTCCCTTATACCTTTTCTTCCTAAATAATAAGGAAAAGTAGAAACAAGCAGGAATCTGAAAGTGACCTGTTTCCAAACTCAGGAGGAGGATACATTAACTCCTAATAAACCCAGGAAAAGCCCCATAGTGGAATTTTAAGACATCCAACATCCCTCAGATAAAAGGGTGTCACAGAACATTGGCTGAAAGAATAAATAAATGAATCTATTTAGCGTGGATCATGTTTGTCTTTGAGAATAGTGTACGAAATTATTTAGGTTAATTTTACTACATTTTAAGTTTAAGAAGCAAATACTTATGAAATCACTAGACTCTAATACTCTTTTAGGGGGTTCCACATTACTCCATAGATTACAAAGCTCCTCATGATGCCATCTCAAATGTTAGACTAAACCCTACTAAATAATTTTAGCCTGATTGAGCTTTCCCCAATAGACAGTTTTAATATTTTTTTAGTATTTGAGCTCTGTTTTCTTCCAGAAAAATTTCTGGGGACTGACAATTTAAGTAATGCAAAATAGTCGGATTATGACAACTGAGAAAAAGAAAAGTGTGTTGTTTTTTGAGGTTATCATTTCTTTGACCATTCATAAACAGGCTGGCATCTATTTCATCTTTGCTCATAGTCACAGCACACCGTTGCACACAACCCAAAATAAGGAGGAATGAGGGTAAAGGAATGAGTCTCTTAGCTGCTCTGTGAAACAATTTGTTAGTTTTAGGTTATAGTTCTTTTAAATCTTCAGTCAAATTCTACAAAAATCTTAACTGGGAGGAAATGCAAAGCTCAGGTAGCATTTTAAAAATCTATTTTGGGCCTAATTATGATGTAGCATTGACTTGTTCCAGCATTTTTAACATTACTGGGAAGAGACCATCAGTGGTGGTCAAAATGACTTGTAGTTTACAAAGCATGTGAGCATTTTTTTGAAGAAAGTAGACAAGATAATTTGAGCTGTTGTTTCAAGCAATAAAGTAGAATCAAGTGATAAATCATTTGGGCCATATGCACAAATGGACTGTGACACAGCTAAATTAGTCACAACTGTTCACCACAGGCCAACTTCACGATACATAAAGAGCTATATATCAGTTAGCAATGTTCCCTTGTAACCAGTTCTGATGTGTTTGTAAGCAGAAAAGTAAGTCTATGGCTACAATCAACAAAGAAGTATCAGGCCGGCCCACCAAGGCCAGCCAAACCCATATCTCCCTGCAGTTTTATAGAGATTAGCATATCACACGAGCCAAATGCTGTTACCAAACTTAAAATATGATACTGCTACTCTGTAGAAAAAGTGTAAGCCCTATTCTTCAACATCAATAGAATAGAAGCATTCATAGATATTGTGTTCAATGTGGTCCAATAATTGAAGCTTAAAATAAATATCTTGTAACAGAACATTTTAAAACGTCAAGACAGATAAGAATTAGGGCTTGGGAAATAAATGACTATGAAGAAAGATAAAAAGAAAAGAGATCTAGGGTTTCTCTGAGACCTAGTGCAGGGCCAAGTCCTCCTGGCTGCAAGTGGCCATTGCCATGGAAACCAGAGGGCTGGGCAGTTGGGGATTGTGATGCTCTGGGGGCGGGGAGGAGATAGTAACCAGTGACTGGTCTACTGTCCCCCAGACCCTCACCGGAGCTTCAAGGCGCTGCTGCCTTTTGCACTCTCCCGCCGGAGTGGTGCCCTGAACCAACCCAGAGAGACCATCACCCACCGCCTTGATGACAACACCTCCGTGCCCTCTCCCGGCTACTCTGCAGCCGTCGATCCATGGCCTTTCCCAGATAACGAGCAGCCTGTTCCTCAGCAATGGTGCGGCTGCAAACAACAAATTCCTGCTGTCTGCCAACCACATCACCACCATCATAAATGTTTCTGTGGAGGTGGTCAACACTGTCTACGAGGACATTGAATATGTGCACGTGCCGGTGGCCGACTCTCCCAGCTCGTGTCTTTACAGCTTTTTTGACTCTGTTGCTGATCACATCCACAGCGTGGAAATGAAGCAGGGCCGCACGCTGCTGCACTGTGTTGCGGGAGTGAGCCGCTCCGCCGCTCTCTGCCTCGCCTACCTGATGAAGTACCACTCCATGTCGCTGCTGGACGCTCACACCTGGACCAAGTCGTGCCGCCCCATCATCCGGCCCAACAACGGCTTCTGGGAACAGCTTATCAATTATGAATTCAAGTTATTCAGCAAGAACACCGTGCAGATGATCAACTCCCCGGTGGGTGTCATCCCCGATATCTACGAAAAGGATGTCCATTTGATGATGCCGGTGTGAACCATCCCGACCAGCCCCTGACATCTGCTGCTGATGCTCCACCAACGTAGAACTCGAACATTGAACTCTGATTGGTAAAGAAAACTACATGATGCCTTTTAGAAGGGCAAGTGAAAAAGGAGGGTTGTTGGAGTTTTCAGCTTAGTGAAGCTTATCTCCTAAGAATAAAATTCATTAAATGTAAGATGGTGACAATGTTTCTTATCCTGCGAGCGGCAGGTCATGGCTGCTGGGCCCTGGCCAGGGAGAAGGGTGGGGAGGGTGGTATCCAGCTCAGATGGACCTGCACCCTGGGCCCTGCAGGAGGTTGACTAACCCCAAGTGAATCCCCTAGACTCCCATCTGGTTCTTTCCACCCCTCATGCCAGAGCCTCAGACCTCATGGCAACCCCCGTGCTTCTCACAGGAAGTGCCAACCTACTGGATAAGGGCTTCACAAGGCGCTCCGGGAGCCCTAGGGGAGTCTCAGGCCACCCCTGCCCCCACCTTCAACTACAGTGGCCCAACACTGGTTTTCTAGACTGGATTTACATGTAAAATAATTTTCAAAAAAACCATTCCACTATATAAAATTTTAAAATATTTTTTCGAGTGCTATACTAGATGGCAAGGTCTCAAGGTGCCCCCACTGGCCTTTGTGAAAAGGGATATTAATCCCCTTCTCCAGGGCACATGCTGAGAGAGAGAACAAGCCTGACACCAGGCCTCAGGGGTTCCTCTCATGAGCCTTGGCTTGGAAAGCTGGAGCTGCTGGCTAGGACACAGCCCTGTTGCCTCTGACACCTCCTCCCATTGTGACCTGGGGCCTCTCAGAGCCTCTGTTTCCTCACCTGTCAAAGCTGTCTCTCACAGGGTTGTTGTGAGGATTAGCATGGGACCTGGCACATGAATGGTTTCATGCTTAGAGTAAAGGGCCGCTCTTGTTATTAATGATACTCTTTGGCCCTGCTGGCTGGGGGTCAGCACATTCATCCTCGCAATGGCATTTCCCCCATCTGTGCGCAGCTCTTTGTTGTCTACAAAGTGCTCTTCCAAAAAATCATCCTGTCTGTAAAAACAAATGGTTTAAGGTTCTTTCAGACCCTGCCTCAGAGGTGGCCTAGATTTAGAGCCTTTTTAGAGTTCCCATTATGTCATTGTGTTTAATCCACGTGCAAGCAAGAAGCAAGAAGCACAATTCCAACCTCCCCGACTCCACTCCACCCACTGTCGCCAAAAGGCCTTGTTTAGAACTGCTGACCATGAGAGCCAGCACCCCAGGATCCACCGGAATCCATGGGGCCACTTGCTAAAGGGACAAATGAGTGGGCCCCAGAAGTAGGAATCCAAGGTTGTTCAAACTTCCCAGGTACCTGGCTCTGGCTTAGGAGCAGCCATTCTAACCCAGAGAATTTTAGACAAAAACTATGTGAGACTGGGGCCGGCCCAGTGGTGCAGAGGTTAAGTGTGCACGCTCCACTTCGGCAGCCCAGGGTTCGCAGGTTCGGATCCCAGGTGCACACCACCGCACCGCTTGTCAAGCCATGTTGTGGTGGCATCCCATATAAAGTAGACAAAGATGGGCACGGATGTCAGCCCAGGGCCGATCTTCCTCAGCAAAAAAGAGGAAGATTGACATCGGATGTTAGCTCAGGGCTAGTCTTCCTCACCAAAAAAAAAAAATATATATATATATATATATAATGAGACAAAAGCACAACTACTCTGGTTGACACAGATCTGTGAGTCCAGAGCCCAGTGGAGTCCGAATACCCTTTCTCTCCAAACTCACCTCCACCCCCAGTTCCACAAGAGGAGTGCCTAGGGATGAAATTTGCTCCGGGGGTGGGGTGGGGGTCAGGGTGGGCATGGGGGGTGGGGGAGGGGAACTATGAAAACCACTGCTCTAGACGGATCTCCTCCTTTTACAGACGAAAGAACAGGCTTATAAATTTAGTTGGGTATATATATATGTGTGTGTATTTTCATTTTTCTTAATACCTAAATTAACAGACCATAAAATTAACTCTCTTTGAACATACAGTTCTATGAGTGTTAACACATGCATCGATTCGTGTAACCACTGCCACATTCAGGACACAGAGCAGTTCTGTGACTCCAAAAATTTCCTTCATGCTTCCCCTTTGTAGTCAAACTCTAGCCCCACCTCAACCCTTGCAAACGCTGATCTGTTCTCTGTCCCTATAGACTTGCCCTTAACAGAATGTCACATAAATGGAATCATACAGCATGTAACCTCTGGAGACTGGTTTCTCTCACACAGTCTCTGACACTCCCCAAAGTTGTATTCTATTGTGTGGATGTACCACAGTTTGTTTTATATTCACCCATTGAAGAATATTTGGGTCTGTATTAGTTTCCTGGGGGCTGCTGTAACAAAATACCAAAAACTGGGTGGCTTAAAACAACAAATTTATTTTCTCACAGTTCTGGAGGCCAGAAGGCCTAAATCAAGGTCTCAGCTGGGCCATAGTTCTTCTGAAACCTGTAGGGGAGATTCCTTCCTAGCTTCTGGTGGTTGCTGGCTATCCTGGGCATTCCTTGGCTTATAGATGCATCACTCCAATCTCTGCTTCTGTGGTCACATGGCCACCTTCCCTAGTGTGTCTTCACATCTGTCTTCCCTCTGTGCATGTCTGTGGCTAAATTGCCCTCTTCTTATAAGGACACCAGTTATGTTAGGGTAGGGGCTCACTCTACTCCAGTATGACTTCATCTCAATTAATTACATCTGCAACAACCCTATTTCCAAATAAAGTCACATTCTGCGGTTCTGAGGGTTAGAACTTCAACATATTTGGGGGGAGATACAATTCAGCCCACAAGAGAATTGTTTCCACTTTTTGGCAAGTATGCATAAAGTGCTGTAACACACACACAAATACACACGTGCACACAGAAGAAGAAAAGGATCATGTCACCTGGAAAGAAAAGAATTGTAGCAGTTTAAAAGTAGAATAAGAGTTATAGTGAAAAACAATAATAACCACCATTTATAGGAAGCTGTTATATGCCAAACATAGTACCAGGCACTTTACAGTGTCTCTGGTTCTTACAACAGCCCTTCAAAGGAGTTATTACCCACATCATACTAACAAAAAAACAGGGGGTTCCAAGAGGTTGAGGAATTTGCCTAAGGCAGCACACAGCCCAGGAGTGAAGAGGTGACATTCAGACAGGGCTCTGTTTTCCTGCATTTCTTTTGAGACAAAAGAAAGTAGATTGAAGGAAGGAAAATTTTGAGTCATACTCTTGATTCCCAAATAGTGTCCATACAAATCACCTGGGAAGTTTTTTTATACGGATACCTGGGCCTCACCACCACAGATTTAGATTCAGTAAGTAATAGGTAAGGTCCAGGAAGCTGCATTTTTAACGAGCATCTCAGACAACTCTGATGAAGGCTGAGAAACAGCAACCAAACAGTTGTGAATACTAGGTATTCCATACCTTCTCATCTTTGTCCTTTTTTTTTTTTTTTGTGAGGAAGATTGGCCCTGGGCTAACATCCATGCCCATCTTCCTCTACTTTATATGGGACGCCACCACAGCATGGCTTGACAAGCGGTGCGTCAGTCCGCGCCGGGATCCGAACTTGCGAACCCAGGCCCACTGAAGCAGAGCAAGTGCACTGAACCACTACGGGCACCACGCCGGCCCTGTCCTTTTTTGAATTATCTGTTCATGCCCTTAGACAGTTTTCTATCAGAGTGTAAATCTTTTATTTTTCTTTTCAGTTGTAAGAACTGAAATATAGAATAAGGATATTCAACTTTTCTTGTCAAATATGTTGCACATATTTTTCCTAGTTGATCATGTGCCATTTGTTTATGGTGCTTGTTTGTGATTCAAAAGTTTAAATTTGCATGTAGTTAAATCTATGAGTCTTTAACTGAATGGTTTTTGTGTCTGAATGATACTTTAAAGGTTTTCTCCATTGCATAATTATAAAAATGTTAACTATTATTTTCTCCTAATTTGTTTTTTTCACTTTTAAACCTTTTTCCCCCAATTTTTTAATTTGAAAATTTCAAACATCCAGAAAGTTGAAAGAACAGAACAAGGAGCATACACATTTGCTTCACTTAGGTTAATCAATTGTTAGCCTTTAGTCACGTTTACTTTCTCTCTCAAGATAATACCTTTTTTCTGACCTGTTTGAAAGTAATCTGCAGATATCATGACACTTCATCCTTGAATATTTCAAAATGCGTCACCTGAGAATAAGGACATTTTCCTATATACTCATAATATCATTATCAAACCTAAGCCAATTAATTAATAATAATTCCCTAATATTCAGTCCATATTTAAACTTTCCCACTTATGCCCAAAATGTCTTTTATAGCTATTTTTCTTTCCCAAACAGGAGCCAATCAAGGTCACACATTGCATATCATTATTGTATTTCTTTTAATCTAGAACAGTGCCTCCACTCTTTTTTCCCCTGATATTGTCTTTTTGATAAGTTCAAAACAATTTTGTGGTATAATGTCCAGCACTCTGATGTGTCCAATTACTTCCTCATGCTATTGTTTAACTTGTTCCTTTGTCACTTGCATTTTCTTTAACCTCGACATTAGGTCTAGAGGTTTGATTAGATTTGGGTTAAGTATTTTTTGCTAGGATATTTCAGAAGTGATGTCATGTTGCATCACATCAGGAGGCACAAATGTCTCTTTGTCCCATTAGCAGTGATACTAAGTTTGATAACTAAGTTAAGGTGGTGACCACCAAATACCTGCCTTTAAAACTAGTAAGTAATTTGTGGGAAGATACTTTCACACCATGTGAATATCCTGTTCCTTTCATTCTATGATACTAGCATCCATTAATGATCTTTGCCTCAATCAATTATTACACCGGGGGACATGTAGCTCTTAAATCTATCCCAAACTAATTTTGGTATATGATACAAGTTAGAGTTATTTAATTTTTTAAAATAATTTTGAGATGTTGCAAAACCACCATAAATATTTGAGTCTGCTTTTGTTCTTTCTGGTTCGTTACATTGTCTATCTTTTCCTGTGCTAGTATCACATTCTTTAAAATTGGTGCAGCTTCATAATAGGCTGTAACATTTGGTAGAGGAATGAAATCCTCCGCCCCCGCAGTTAGGCTTCTTTCTCAAAGACTTTTTGTTGTTGTTGTTAGATTCCTTCTT